TGTCAAGAACCCATTCCCTTCGCTGGCCAAGCAATATTCCATTGTATATATGTACCACCTACTCTTTATCCATTCATACATCGATGCACACCCAAGCTTTCTCCACATCTTGGCCATTGTAAACAATGCTGCAATGAACATAATGGATGTACACATCCCCTCAAAGTAGTGTTTTGGGTTTCTTCACATAATTACCCAGAAGTGGGATAACTGGGTCCTTCTTTGTCACTTGTTATAGTCTTTGTTTTAAAGTCTGTTTTGTCTGGTATAAGTATTACTACCCCAGCTTTTTGTTTGTTTCTATTTTCATGAAATATGTTTTCACCATCCCTTTACTTTCATTTCAGTCTATGTGTGCCTTTTGATCTGAAGTGAGTCTCTTGTAGGCAGCATATGTAAGAGTCCTGTTTTCTTATCTAGTCAGCCACCCTGTCTTTTGATTGGGGCATTTAATCCATTTATATTTAAAGTAATTGTTGATAGATACAGTTATTGACATTTTAGTTTTCTTTTTTTTTTTTTGGTCTTTTTTTTTGTCTTAAGTCCCTGTAATACTGGTTTGGTGGTGAGAAACTCCTTTAGCTTTTTTTTTTGTCTGGGAAGCTCTTTATCTGTCCTTTGAGTCTAAAGGATAGCTTCGCTGGGTAGAGTAATCTTGGTTGATTTTCATCACTTTGAATATTTCCTGCCAGCCCTTGCTTGCTTGCAAAGTTTCTCTTGAGAAATCAGCTGATAGTGTAATTGGAGCTACCTTGTAGGTAACTAACTGCTTTTCTCTTGCTGCTTTTAAGATTCTCTCTTTGTCTTTGACCTTTCACATTTTAGTTATGATGTGACTTGGTGTGGGGCTCTTTGGGTTCATCTTGTTTGGGACTCTGTGCACTTCCTGGACTTGTATGTGTGTTTCCTTCGCCAGGTTAGGAACGTTCTCAGTCATTATTTCTTCACGTTTTTAATTCCTTGCTCACTCTCTCTCTTCTTCTGGTACCCCTATGATGCAAATGTTGGTATGCTTGATGTTGTCCCATCTGTCTTCCTTTTTTGGATTCTTTTTTCTTTTTGCTCTTCTGATTGGGTGTTTTCTGCTACCTTATTATCTTCTAAATTGCTGATTCGATCCTCTGCTTCATCTAATCTGTTGATTCCCTGTAATGTATCCTTCATTTGTTATTGTAGTCTTTGTTTTGACTTGTTCTTTTTTGTTTTCTATCTCCATGTTTATGTTTCCTGTCTCTGTTGAAGTTCTCTCTGGTATTATTGAGCATCCTTATAACCAGTGTTTTGAATTCTGCATCTGGTAGATTGCTCGTGTCCACTTTCTTTATTTCTTTTTCTGTTCTTTGTTCTATACTTTTATTGCGTTGTTGGGAAAGTCATGACATAAGTTTCTATGTTTTTCAATGCAAAAATGTGTCATGACTTTCCTGACAACCCAATATTTGAGACATTTTATTTTGGCTGCCTACCTGTTTTTATATAGGGCTGCTATGCCTCCTGGTCTTAGTAAGGTGGCCTTATGTAGCAGGGTTCCTGTGGTACCCAGTGGTGCAATCTCCCTGGTCACCAGAGCCAGGTTCTCCAGGTGTGTCCCTTGTGTGGGTTTGTGTGCTCTCCAGTTGCAGTTGAGACCTGATTGCTGTTTGCACATCAGTGGGAGGGATTGACCCTCAGGCTGATTGGTTGTGAGGACTGGCTGTGATTAGAGTGGAGGAGCTGTTGTTTAAAGGCTGACCTACAGAGCAGAGTTCACTTTAATGGGGCTCTGGTCGCTGCCCAGTCTGCCCTTTGGGTGTGTCGTTCTTGTAGGTGGCTGAGTGATGCTGCAGCCCAGTTTGAAGCTGGCCACTGGGGCTGCCAGCCCTGGGACCTCCTGGGAGGGGACCTACTGAAGGCCAAATTCAGCTGCAGTCTGTGCCCTGCTGGAGGCCACCTGGCATGAGCTACAAAACAGTCCAGAGATGGCCATTACCCATGTCCTGCTTGGAGGTACCTTGAGAGGCCAAGCCATGAGCCAAGGCCGGCTGTTGCTAGTGCTGGGCTTAGAGCTGCTCAGCCAGAGGTATGGGGCACGCCGAAACTAGATGCTTCTTGTTTGAGTTTTGTGAACCTTTGAGAGATTTTAGGAATGTCGCAGCATGAGCTAAGGCAGCCCGTTTATATGGAAAAGCCACTGGAAGCAGCTCGGGTCTGCCTGAAAGTTGGGTGGGGTGGGGTCTCAGGCAATCACTAGGGTGGGCCAGAAGAAAGGTGGACTCAGGTATGGCGTCTACCTGAATCTGCACTAAGGGCTGGGGGAAGGCTCATCAAAGAAACTATGGCTTCCTCCAGCTCCTCCGTCCGGGAGAAAGATGCCTATTCAGCCCTCAAACTAAAGCCAGACAACTCAGTTCCTCTCCACATGTCCCTTGGACTTTTCAAGCTGCTACCCTAGTGCTGGAGCTTAGAGGAAGTGAGTCCATCAGCAAATGAGTCCGAGTGCAGGCCCTTTAGAGGAACACCTGGGAGTGCAGCTGCCCTCCCTCTCACTCAGCCACAACCTCTGCTGGTTTTCACAGCCAGAAGTTATGGGCACTTCTCTCCCCAACAATGAAACCCTGGGTTGGGGAGGACCTCCACAGCTGAGGTATCCCTCCCGATTTTTAATGGTCACATGTGGGTGAGGGAACAGCACATTCCATGGCTCTGTCCCTCCTATCAGTCTCAAGATGGCTTCTTCTGTATGTCCATAGTTATCTGGCTTTGGTTCAGCTAGACTTCAGGTGATTCTCAATAATGGTCATTCTGTGATTTAGTTGTAATCATTGTGGTCCTGAGAAGAGGTAAGCACAGCATTTACCTACTCTGCCATCTTGACCGGGAATCCTTTTTCTGTTTCTTTACATGCCTTTTTGTTTTGTTATGTTCTGTTTTACTGGATGTTGGACATCATGAATTTTATCTTGCTGGGTTTCAGCTTTTGTATTCTAGGGTAGTATTGGGCTTTCTTCTGGCATGCAGTTTAGCTAATTGGGATCCATTTTATTCTTTTGTGTCTTTTATATTTGTTTGAGCAAGTCCAGCACTTCTTTAGTGTAAGACCAATTTATCCCATTACTAAGGAATACACTTCTGAGGACCCTACCCAGTGCTCCATGTATTCTGTCATGTTTGCATTCTGGCTTTTAGTTGATTTATTTTCATATGTTCATAGTACTCACTCAAAGACTCAAGGGAACGTTTCTGAAGGTCACCAAAGCACATATGCATGCTCATACATGCACTCTCTTGCATATTCTTGTTCTGTCTCACTTCCTTTATGTCTCTGCTGCTCTCTCTTTTCCTGTTCTGTGCCCTGACAATTTTAATGATTTCCCCCATTACCCACACCCAAAACTATCTCTTGTCTCTTCAATTCAGTGAGGTTTCCGGGTTCTCCTTTGCATTGTGGCCTAGAGATTACTGGTAGGTAGTAAAATGGGATATAGTAGAGACCATGTTAGTTTTTTATACCCTCTCTTAGAGATCATTATAGTCTTGTCGTGCCTGTTTTACAATGTCTTGAAATTTGTTTTATAAATTTTGTCTGATTTTCTAGTTTTTTTCAGGTGGGAGAGTAAATTTTGTACCTATTATTCCAACTTGAATAAAAGCAAGCTTTTATGAATTTGCTTTTAATTGCTTTATTAGATGATGAAAAAGTTTGGGGAAACACTAACAAAAAATACAGTTCTGCTTCAGAAAAACAAAAGTGATTTTTTTTGTTATGTTCAAAAGTAATTTCATCTGAATTTTAATTAGAATTTTATTATTAAACTAATATTTGTATATAACCTTATACTTTGGAGAATTGACATTTTTATGGGATTCTTTATTAAAGTACATGCTATGTTACCGCTTTTGTTCAAGCCCTATTTCCAGTCCATCAATAAAATTTTATAGTTTTTTTATAAATGACTTCTGTATTTCTTTATTAAGTTTATTTTTTGATATTTTATTCTTTTTGCATTATTAGTAGAGGTTTTTTTTTAATCTGGTTATTTTGGGAATAAATTCTATATAAATTTTATAATTGGTTATGGTACTTAATTTTCATTTATGTAACATTTTAGATTGCTTTTGTAATTTAACTGCACTCTGCCTATTCAGTATGTTAATATTTTGTCTCATAATTAGCAAGTACAGTAATACCTTGGTTTGCAAGTATAATTCATTCTGGAAATAAACTACTCGTATTGCAAGACATCGCTCGTTTACCATGTTAAAATATATTAGAAATATTTGCTCTTCTTGCAGAACACTCGCAAACCAAGTTACTCACAATCCAAGGTTTTACTGTATTTTTTATTACCCAAGTTTTTAAAAATTCTGTTTATCTCTTGTAATGAAAACATCAATCTTTTTCTTTATGAATGCTTTCTGTTTTGATTTACTTAGAAATTTTTCTCCCATATGAAGAATATAAAAATACAATTTCTCTTAGCACTGATCCAGTGTTAGTTTTTTATCAAAGAGCTATCTAATAGCTCCAATACTTATTTTTTTAATGAATCACTTCTGTATCTTAACTACATTCCTTTATATATTCAAATGTGTATATTTAAAAAGTTTTTATCTATTATCTAATACTGTTCCAAAATACTATAATGATTTACTTTTATAAAATATTTTATAATTGTGGCTTTACTCTATATTAGGTGTGTTTTTACTTTAGTTTAACACATACTGATAGATGTTCAAAATTTGAGATTAGGCAGCCATCTTTTATAATAAGTTTTAAAGACTAGTTAAAGGCAGACAATTTTAAAAGAATTTTTACACAGAACTGTATTGATCAGTTATATCTGGGCACGTAAGAGGAAAGTTTTGTTTAAGAAAATCTTAATAATATAAATTATAGGGTCAGAATTTCTTGGTTTTTTTAGTTATTTGTTTAGTTCTTTTTTTAGTTGTTTGTTGTTTTCCTATATTGATATATTTTATTTATAACCTTTGCTAAAGAAATTGTTTTTCTGTTTTTATAGTTTTGGTAAGCAGTTTGGAGGAAAAAGAGGATGTGATTGTCTTGTATTAGAGCCTTCAGAAATGATTGTGGTAAGAACTTTAAGAATGCTGAATTGTTGTTTGAATATGCTTCAGTTTCAACTTAAATGTAGTAGGCTTTTAAACACTCAGAAAGGTTCTATTACTATGACTTTTTGAATATTTGATTAAGTAGCATTAGAACCATCTACCAAGTTTGATACATTTTTCATCTACTTAAAAATTTTTGTGATCCTTGAGAGAATTTGAAACATGATACAATTATATATAATATGTTCCAAATTTGGTAGTTTCTTTTACCACTTTTACCAAAAAATTTAAAGGCTTTAAACAGGAACGCTGATTTTTCTTTCCTTTTTAATGTAGTTAATAACCTTAGAACATATTCTGTGCCCTCAACTTGAGGGAAAGAAATAGAAAAAAGGAAAGACTCAGCTATATCCATATCCAAGTAAGAAATGGTTTAGATCTTAATATCTTTTACTTTAAGAGTGTACTTAAGGAATAATTCTTTACTTTTTCCTAAGAAAGCTAGGTAGATGATGTAACTTTAGAAAATTTGGCTTTTTTTTTTTTTTTTTTTACCAGCAGTAGAAGAATCCAGAACACAGCTCCCTTTTACCTTGTTCTGAGATGACCTTACTAGAAGATAGCTTACACTGAATGGACTCATTGTCCTACTAACATCTCATGTAGATGATCATGTCATCTGATTTGATTTAAACTATTGAGACGAGAGGTTGAATTCTTAGTGAAGTATTTTAATGTCAGGGCTCAAAACGAAACCACTTTTCCATTTTATGGTGCCATAGTCAGATTGACATCTTCAAATCTTTTCTGTTTTCTCTTCCCCAAACTGGATCATCTGCATTATCGTGAATTCAGTGTCCTATATTTTATAAAAACAATTGGATTTTAAACTCTTAAAAGGCAGCGATTATGTCTTATTCTGCAGAGTGCTATCTGTGTATTAAGTATTCAGTGAATTGTGCTTGGATTCAAGTTTGTTCAAGGCTTAAACTTTGTATTGTTTTATGTTTATTTTCTTTAAGCGTTGATATAGATGACATTTCTATTAAGGCCTCAGACTGTCTCTTTTAAATAAATGTGTTGAGGAATATGGCAAGAAAACTCTCAGGCAGTACTTACTTTTTCGTTTATTTGTCAGTTGATGTATTTTGTATCTCTCATACTTTATGGGAAAATAGTAATGCTCTTACTGCAGTGTTCACATATACCTTTTGTTTTATTTTATGGTGGTAAAAGACACAACATAAAATGTACTATCTTAGCCATTTTTAAGTCTACAGTTCAGTGTATTTAATTATTAAATTACTTTTATTTTTAAATTAAAGGGAAAGCTTTACTTTTCCCACCCCACACCTGGAGTTAGTTTTTTCTCTGAGGACACCTGTTGGCTTGTAGTGGAGAAGAATATTATTTAGAAACTGAATCTGGCTGCTCTTTGTTTTCATTGTTCCAGGTGCCTCATTGCTATTAGGGCCTCTCAGGGAACACAGCTGGAAAATACATCTGAGTGTGGGTATATATAAACACTTATATGTGCAAGTCTATAATTTTTTATATCTATATTATATTTAAAACCCAGAGTTCTGGTTTTCCCTCTTTATACCTTCTTTCTCTAACAATGAGAAACTTGGTTTCCATTATCATCAAAAGATTTACTTAAACACATAAGGTTGTTTAAGTGTGTTGGCCCATAACATTGTAGAAAACACTATTAGCTAGAACATTAACATACACATATAGATATAATTTAAGTGTACATTTTGTTGAGATTTTACAAATGCATACCCCTCATAACCTACGTCCCTATCAAAATATATTTCCATCACCCACCCTATAAAGTAAGGAACTATTCTGAGAATTAGAAGGACCAGGTAAAAAGACAGAGGAACCAGATTGAAGGAACATACATTGGCCAAATCTGGGGCAATTTGGGAATCCAAATTAAAAACAAAAAAAGAAAATCAAAGTAATTGGTAGGACCCCTTTGTATAATATAAGAATTGGTAAGTCCTATTGATGTGAATGAATGAAGGAAAAGGGAAAGTTTTTCCTGATCGTCTAATGCCAGCTAATGAATTCGGAAGGAATGATTATGCTAGAAAATGATTATTGAATGGTAAACCTTGTCACTAATGTTTAATGAGAAGCAGAACACTTACATAGTCTCAGTTATCTCCCCACAAACCATTAACGAGGGGAAAAATTACCCAATTTTAGGGGACTTGGAGGTTACCACCGTAACAAAAATCATTGCTACCACCATCAATATGGACACAAACTGATATCATACTACTCCTGATATGATTTACTGAGAAGGAGAAAACATCATCTCTGTGATATATTCCTGCCAGAAATGCATACCTGAATCTAATCATTGTGACGTATCAGACAAACCAAATTGAAGACATTATACAAATTGACTCGCCTGTTCTCTTAAAATATCCCAATGTCAAGAAACAGACTGAGGAACCTGTTCCATATTAAAGGAGAAAAAAAGAGACATAACTAAAATGCTTGATCTTATACTAAATATTGGAGGAGAGGGCATAGCTATAAATGATGCTTCTGGAGAATTGATGAAATTTGAATATGGACTGCAGATTACATAATATTGAATTTCCTGATTTTAATAACTGTTACTGGGGTTATGTAAGACAAAGTCTTTGTTCTTAGGAAATACATGTTGACATATTTGGGGTCAAGAAGAACTCTATTCAATTTAGACTCAAATGTTGCAGAAAAAAATACATGTACACATAAAATGTTTAAAATCACCAAAAAAATGAAATCAGGTATATATATTTGTGTGTGTATATATATTTGTGTGTGTGTGTGTGTGTGTGTGTGTGTGTGTGTGTGTGTGTGTATACACACATATATATATTTATGGTTGGTAATTTTTAAATTGCAAAATCATATTTTATTGATCAGCATGGTTTAAAATGCTTTATGAGTTACAGGAGAAAATAATCCAAAATAATGAAAGATTTTTATTTCTGAGATTTCTGAAGGATTTTATTGTCATTTCATCATATTAATGAATTTTGGGTTTTTTTCTTTTTTTTTTTGTTTTAAATTATTCACTAATATTACATCTTTTAAACTGCAAAAATGTGCTGAACATTTTATACCAGTACAAATCTTTGGTACATCTGTGTATTTTTTAGATGAAATTATTTAGAATTTCATAAAAATGTTTGGTCTGAGTGTATATGTGTTTACAAGTACATATTTACTATTTTGATAAGTGCTATCAAATGGTTTTATTATATATTTATTTGTGCAAATTTGAATAACTCCACTGGTGACTGGGAATGCCTGTTACTGAACACCTTCCTCATCACCTGGTATGTTAGTCATCTTAATCTAACACGTTATAAGGAAATCACCTTGTCTTGTGCATATTCTTACATGCTTCATGCAGGTTTTTTATTATTATTATATCTCTTTCCCATTTTTCTGTTGGGTTGTCGGAAAAGTCATGACGCATTTTTGCAATGCAGAACATAGAAAAATACGTCATGACCTTTCCTACAACCCAATACTTGGATTATTTTTAAAAAATTTTTTATGAGTTTTAGGTGTACAAAACAACATAATGATTAGACATTTACACCCCTCAAAAAGTGATAATACCACCAAGTCTACTACCCATCTGACACTGTACATAACTATTACAGTACCACTGACTGTATTCCCTATGTTGTACTTCATATCCCGTGATGATAACACACACACACACACACACACACAGTGACAAAAAAATGTATACACATTTTAAGAAAGGAAAAAACTGTATTAAAATTGTAATACTCAATATATACCAATAACAAATGATGAATACAAGTCAGGTTTGACTTCTGCAATTACAAGAGGTGCTCAAAGTGGTTACCATCAGCGTAATTTTAATACAGTTTTTTTCCTTTCTTAAAATGTGTATACTTTTTTTGGCATCCTCTGTATATATATATATATATATATATATATATATATATATATATATAATTATAGTTCACATTCAATATTATTTTTTATTAGTTTCAGGAGTACAATACAGTGGTTAGGCATTTATATAATTTATGAAGTGATCCCCCTGATAAGTCCAGTACCCATCTGACACCCTACATAGTCTTTACAGCATTATTGATTATATTCCCTATAACGTATTTCACATTGCATTATTTCTTATAAGAGCTTTACATGTGTAAGTAAATGTCTTTTCATTTATAAGAGACTGTAAATTTATCATTTTTTTAACTGTATATCTAAAATGAATTTTCTGTCATTTATTTATTTAGATCTATCAACTTTCTTTCCCTCTTACAACTTTTTGGAATCATGCTTATTAGATGACAATATTATTGCTCTTTTTACCTGCATTGTTTTATAGAATTTGATTAGTTCATTATTTTAACTTTTAAATCTCACTTTTTCTGAGTAGCCAAAGTCGTAATAGCTTAACCACTTGTCTCCCAATATTTCCTTCAAAAACAGTGCAGCTCTACCACAAGGGTAAAAGAGATCTACACACAAACCATGCTCACAGCATAACTTGAAAACAGAAAATGCCCAAACTTGAAAATAATTGCAAATAAAAGGAAAGAAACCACCAGTTCCACTGCATGTGATCTCTCATATCTCTACTCCCAGCCCTCAGCAAGGCTTGCTGGTGATCATAGGCCAACCCAGCAGAAAATGCAAGCTAGTAAATGGACCTAAGGTTGACCTACACTTGACAGAAAGACTAACTCTGCACTGTTTAAAATTAAACGTGTGTGAGGGAGAGAGAGAGCAAGAGAGCGAGCGATCAGAACAGGAAATATAGGGAAGTTATTTTAAACTATGAGTGATTTGCAGAGGTATTCTAAATGCATAGTTTCAGGATTAAGACAAAAGGTAAAAAGGAAACAAGCTCCCTTTTGCATTTCAGTGCTGAAGAAGAAAAGCACATGAGGAAGTTTTAAGTTTCTACAAGTCAAAGTGAACACAAAATCAAGGTCTTACCACCATATTTCTTTGTG